TTTGCGCCGTGCCCGCTCCTGGCCCGGCTCCCATCGGGCAAGGCTCGCTGCTGTTCACTACAGCTGCAATGAAATGTCTCAGGAAGAAAACTTCCAAATAAAGCACTTGGGAGATGGTTTTTGAAAGAATTTGAATTACATTCTTCCCCTCAGACAAAGCTTTAGCAAGAATGACATGGAAAATGTATTTTCTGCTTACCAGGCTGCCACCCTTCATCCTCATTGACGCTGTCCAGTGACACTGCTGCCATCAGAAACAGCACCACCAGAACTGCCTGCAAAGCAAACAGGCACTGTGAGCACAGGTGAGCTCCCACAGCTCCATCCCTGAGCACAGGTGAGCTCAGACACAGCTCCATCCCTGAGCACAGGTGAGCTCCCACAGCTCTGCTCCATCCCTGACCACAGGTGAGCTCCTTCAGTGGCTTTTCAGTCCCAAATGGAGCTGGGAGGGCTCATCACCTTTGGTGTGCTGGAACAAGGCCCTGCAGGACTGGCTGCTCACACACTGGCTGTCCAGCTCTCAGGACAGATTTTAAATCATGGTTTCATGCAATTCAGGAGGACTGGGAAGCACACGACATTCATCACAGCCTGGGAAAAGTGTCACAGTGGTATTTCACAGAGCCTGTTTTGTTCTCCCTCCTTCTCCAAGGAGTGCCTGCCAGAAGGGAGGGTCATTTTTGAGGGTTGTTATCCTGGGGATTCCATGGCACACAGAGCTCTATCTCCCTTTGTTCTCTCAGCAGAACTGTTATGTATTTATGTATATTCTCACATGCCAGTAGCCCATCAACAGCACAACTGCAGCCAGGAAAAATGATTATCAAGCGATACACTTAATGCTGGTATTTGGCCACACAAACGACCAAAATAATAATAAAATGTTTATGATAATAAATCCTAACATCTAACAGTTCCAGTAAAATGTCAGTTCTCGTCTGCTGTGGCATAACAAGTTGCATATGTCAAATTTTTATGACTCAAATTGCTAAACATGTTCTTGAGATAAAGAATATGTTTTAAAACCCTCCTAGCAGTGAGTCTGTACTGGTAGTTTAAAAAACTACTTGCTATTTTACTTTCACAGTGACTTAATCGCGTTTACTCATATAATTTTGCATATTTCTAAAAGAAGGCTCAGAAAGTTTATGACCATTTAGATACTTTATCCCTGTGTGTCCCCACAGCCCCTGTACAGATATTGATGTTTGAGCCCCCCATGACAAGGAAGGAGCAGAGCTGGCCTGGCTCAGTGGAACAGGTCAGTAACACGATTTACAGAGATCTGACAGAATGTCGAGGAACAGGCGGCCTGGTAAGGTTTTGTTTTGTTTTGTTTTGTTCTGTTTGCACAAATGCAGCCGGAGGAACAGCCACGTTCCTCCAGCCCCCAGACGGACAAGGCAGATAATTTACAGAGATCTGACAGGCTTTGTACCACGTCAGTCACACAATTTACAGAGATCTGACAGAATGTTGAGGATCAGGCGGCCTGGTAAGGTTTTGTTTTGTTTTGTTTTGTTCTGTTTGCACAAATGCACACGGAGGAACAGCCACGTTCCTCCAGCCACAGATGGACAAGGCAGATCTCCAGAATTGCTGGAATATTCTGGCACAGCCAACGTCCTGAGCTGCAGGGCTGAGCTGGGCTGAGCTCAGCGTGCTCAGTGCTGATATCTACAGCAGGAACATTTCAGTTTGAAGATTCCATGTGGCTCAACCGAGGGGAAAAATCTGACTAGCCAAAATTAGACTAAAAAAAAAAAAGAAAGAAGAAAAAGCCATTTATGGCACAAAGTGGTTATAAAAGCAGGAGTGCCTTGCCTGATGATCAGAGCCATAATCTAATCTGGGAATGAGCACGGGAACCTGGCTAGGAGCAGCTTTTCCCTCAGAAAATGCCAGAGCTTTGCTGCTCCTGCTGCAGCCATGAGCGATCGCCACGAAGGTCATTGGGGCTGAGATTTGTGACACAGGGGTCTTGGGGACCTTGTTTTTAGATTTTGGGCTTCTCACTCAGAAAATTCTGGTCTTCCTGGGTGGTGCCAGTGCAGCTGTCCAGGGCAGAAGGCACAGACTGTGTGTAACCTTCTCCTCCCCTGCTCTTCCTGCAGGGCCCGGCACCAGCTCGGCCTGGGCTCTGGGTGTTTCACTCGGGAGGGATTCACTCAGGACTGCCAGCAGCAGCAGCCCTGCTGCAGTCACACTGGGGCCACGGCTCAGCCCAAAGCTCTGAGGAGAAACCTGTTCCATGGGAGTGGGAGCGGGGCTGTGGGGGCTGTGGGGAGCCCCAGAAACCAGGGCAGGCCAGCTGGGAGAGAGTGCTCAGGGACCGTCAGGGCTCACTCTGGAGCTGGAAATGCAGCTGGCACAAAGCTTGAGAGAGAGATCACCTGAGATTCCCTGCGTGCTCCCAAGTGCTTCCAGAGGAGCATCAGGTGTGCACTGCTGCAGAGCAGGGTGCTCCCTCTGCATTCCAGCTTCAGAGAGAGCCATCGGGCTTGAGCGGGAGTCTGCCTTCTCTTGTTAATGCCAAACACTGCAAAATTCTCCTGCTCTTCCTCATCATGTCTGTGGGTGAAACCAGGGGAGGAAGGCTGGTGTCTGAAAAGGAACTGTGGGAAAGACACCACTGAATTGAGGGACGTATTTCTCTAGATATTTTAGCAGAATTCAATAAAACACTGCCTTGAGAGTGCAGTATTTACTTCCTCTGTAAAGCACTAAAAGGAAAACACAGGAATACCACTCAATACAATTCAGATGTTTTCTTGATGATTTAACCTTCATCAGCCCGGGGAATCCAAATGCCAGAGCTTTGCTGCTCCTGCTGCAGCCATGAGCGATCGCCAGGAAGGTCATTGGGGCTGAGATTTGTGACACAGGGGTCTTGGGGACCTTGTTTTTAGATTTTGGGCTTCTCACTCAGAAAATTCTGGTCTTCCTGGGTGGTGCCAGTGCAGCTGTCCAGGGCAGAAAGCACAGACTGCGTGTAACCTTCTCCTCCCCTGCTCTTCCTGCAGGGCCCGGCACCAGCTCGGCCTGGGCTCTGGGTGTTTCACTCGGGAGGGATTCACTCAGGACTGCCAGCAGCAGCAGCCCTGCTGCAGTCACACTGGGGCCACGGCTCAGCCCAAAGCTCTGAGGAGAAACCTGTTCCATGGGAGTGGGAGCGGGGCTGTGGGGGCTGTGGGGGCTGTGGGGAGCTGCTGCCCCAGAAACCAGGGCAGGCCAGCCGGGAGGGATTGCTCTGCTGCTCAGGGACCGTCAGGGCTCACTCTGGAGCTGGAAATGCAGCTGGCACAAAGCTTGAGAGAGAGATCACCTGAGATTCCCTGCGTGCTCCCAAGTGCTTCCAGAGGAGCATCAGGTGTGCACTGCTGCAGAGCAGGGTGCTCCCTCTGCATTCCAGCTTCAGAGAGAGCCATCGGGCTTGAGCGGGAATCTGCCCTCTCTTGTTAATGCCCAACATTGCAAACTTCTCCTGCTCTTCCTCATCATGTCTGTGGGTGAAACCAGGGGAGGAAGGCTGGTGTCTGAAAAGGAACTGTGGGAAAGACACCACTGAATTGAGGGACGTATTTCTCTAGATATTTTAGCAGAATTCAATAAAACACTGCCTTGAGAGTGCAGTATTTACTTCCTCTGTAAAGCACTAAAAGGAAAACACAGGAATACCACTCAATACAATTCAGATGTTTTCTTGATGATTTAACCTTCATCAGCCCGGGGAATCCAGTTGTGTTGTAGTGAATGCGCTCCCAAAGTGCTCACATTGTGTCACTCGGATCACCTCTGCTCAGGAGAAACCGGCAGCAAAAAACAACGAGAAAGCGACTGACCCTGGGCTCCTAAAATGTGATTTACTGAACATGTGTCCGTGTGTCCCCTCAGAGCGGCTCCCGTGTGAGGGAGCTGCCGCTGCCCCCGGCGGCTCCGCGGGCACGCCGTGCCCCCGCCCGCCGGGCAGCGAGCGGCGGGCATGCTGCGGCTAATCCGCCTCCTTCCCGTCGGCAGCGGCGCCGCTGCGGGCCCCGGGAGGGCGGCTGGCATGTCCCGGGCGGC